GCGCTGGACCGCGAGCAGCAGAACCACCACACGCTTGTGCTGACCGCCCTGGACGGCGGCGAGCCGCCGAGATCCGCCACCGTGCAAATCAACGTGAAGGTGATCGACTCTAACGACAACAGCCCGGTCTTCGAGGCGCCTTCCTACCTGGTGGAGCTGCCAGAGAATGCCCCGCTGGGCACCGTGGTCATTGATCTGAACGCCACCGACGCCGACGAGGGTCCCAATGGCGAAGTGCTCTACTCCTTCAGCAGCTATGTGCCTGACCGCGTGAGAGAGCTTTTCTCCATCGATCCTAAGACCGGCCTGATCCGTGTCAAGGGCAACCTGGACTATGAGGAGAATGGGATGCTGGAGATCGACGTGCAGGCCCGAGACTTGGGGCCCAACCCCATCCCAGCCCACTGCAAGGTCACAGTCAAGCTTATCGACCGCAACGACAACGCGCCGTCCATCGGTTTCGTCTCCGTGCGCCAGGGGGCGCTGAGCGAGGCCGCCCCGCCCGGCACCGTCATCGCCCTAGTGCGGGTCACTGACCGGGACTCGGGCAAGAACGGGCAGCTGCAGTGCAGGGTACTGGGCGGAGGCGGGACGGGCGGCGGCGGCGGCCTGGGCGGGCCCGGAGGTTCGGTGCCCTTCAAGCTTGAGGAGAACTACGACAACTTCTACACGGTGGTGACCGACCGCCCGCTGGACCGCGAGACACAGGACGAGTACAACGTGACAATCGTGGCGCGGGACGGGGGCTCGCCTCCACTCAACTCCACCAAGTCGTTTGCTGTCAAGATTCTGGACGAGAACGACAACCCTCCTCGTTTCACCAAGGGACTGTATGTGCTGCAGGTGCACGAAAACAACATCCCAGGAGAGTACCTGGGCTCAGTGCTCGCGCAGGACCCCGACCTGGGCCAAAACGGCACAGTGTCCTACTCCATCCTGCCCTCGCACATCGGCGACGTGTCCATCTACACCTATGTGTCTGTGAACCCCACCAACGGGGCCATCTACGCCCTGCGCTCTTTTAACTACGAGCAGACGAAGGCTTTTGAGTTCAAGGTGCTCGCGAAGGACTCGGGGGCGCCCGCGCACTTGGAGAGCAACGCAACGGTGAGGGTGACCGTGCTAGACGTGAACGACAACGCGCCGGTGATCGTGCTGCCCACGCTGCAGAACGACACCGCTGAGCTGCAGGTGCCGCGCAACGCCGGCCTGGGCTACCTGGTGAGCACCGTGCGCGCCCTTGACAGCGACTTCGGCGAGAGTGGGCGCCTCACCTACGAGATCGTAGATGGTAACGACGACCACCTGTTTGAAATCGATCCCTCCAGCGGCGAGATCCGCACGCTGCACCCCTTCTGGGAGGACGTGACGCCAGTGGTGGAGCTGGTAGTGAAGGTGACGGACCACGGGAAGCCCACCCTGTCCGCGGTGGCCAAGCTTATCATCCGCTCGGTGAGCGGCTCCTTGCCCGAAGGGGTTCCTCGGGTCAACGGCGAGCAGCACCACTGGGACATGTCGCTGCCGCTCATCGTGACTCTGAGCACTATCTCCATCATTCTCCTAGCGGCCATGATCACCATTGCCGTCAAGTGCAAGCGCGAGAACAAGGAGATTCGCACTTACAACTGCCGTATCGCCGAGTACAGCCACCCGCAGCTGGGCGGGGGCAAGGGCAAGAAGAAGAAGATCAACAAAAATGATATCATGCTGGTGCAGAGCGAGGTGGAAGAGAGGAACGCCATGAACGTCATGAACGTGGTGAGCAGCCCCTCCCTGGCCACCTCCCCTATGTACTTCGACTACCAGACCCGCCTGCCCCTCAGCTCGCCCCGGTCGGAGGTGATGTATCTCAAACCGGCCTCCAACAACCTGACTGTTCCTCAGGGGCACGCGGGCTGCCACACCAGCTTCACGGGACAAGGAACTAATGCAAGCGAGACCCCTGCCACTCGGATGTCCATAATTCAGGTAAGAGGCTGTTAGCATAACTCGGACTTGACTTTATTGCTGATTTTGGAGCTGTCCTGAAACCTTTGGAACAGGACAAGCCGCACTGCCAGCAGCAGTGAGGGGGAAATTTTTAAATGAAGATGCTTCCCGCTTTTGCCACTCCGTGCACGACATACCCTATACATAGCCCCTCCCATGTTCATAGTCTAAAATCTCAAAGATGTGAATGTCTTACTTCGGTTGTATTTTAAAGATTATTTTTATAGGTTTAAAAATGTTAGCAGTGTTCAGGATTTAGAGTTTATTTTTTATTCGCTGCTCTACATTTCTCTCAGTAGCAAAGGATTCCTAGAGTAAAAAAACATGTTTTAGTTAAATTTGCTTTTGAATTTTATTTAAAAATCGGACACCAACAATGAGAGAAATGTACGCTCCAGTATTCAGAAGTTAACTTCTTCTTCAAGTACAAAATAGCAACCGCTCAGAATCCCAGAGCCTGAATCTGAGCTAAGTTTTCACTCCTCCCCCCAAAAAGTCAGTTTTACATATTAAAAAGTGTTTTAAAGAACATGAGTCATACTTTTTTCTTCAGCGGAAACTGCAGCATAACGCCTTAGTGTGCTTTAAACTTTTAATATGCCAATTTTGCTCTGAAGCTCTTTCAGAAATTTGAGTTGAGGTAGGCTCTGGATCATGACCAGTAACTGTCGATGAAAAGTTTATAATTATTTTGTCCTGGAATTTTCCCGATCTATTTCATTGAGAAAGCAACAGAGAATACCCAAGAGTCACAGACTCATTTTACACGGTTGAAAACAGGAGGCAAAGTTGGCATTAAAGGCACTTGATGCACCAAAAATGCATGTAGTCTGCATACTGTGTATTTTCAGTATTTTTAAGCGATCTTTAATATATTTTAGATTGTATAATTCAAAGTTACCGATGTATTTTTTAAAAACCCTAAATGACGGACCCATCATAGATTCTAACAATAGCAGGTAACTGTACTTTGCCTAACTTCTTTTATCAACTATTAAGTTGTGTCACAGGAAAAACTTAATTCTTGCTTATTATAAATGCATGTTGCCACAAATTACTCTGGATGGGCACTACTTGAAATTCAAAATTGAGTTTAACTAAAAGTGACACTTTGGGAGGAAGATTAGTTTGGGGCAAATGAAGTTAATTTGTTCATAATTTTATGCTTTGAAAAGCAAATACCCTTTAATGACACTTGACTCAGTAATGTTTTTATTACTAAAATGAATAGTAAAATATCACAACCTTATCCTTTCTAACATGATAAGTGTGACAAATGCTAAAAGTTGGCAAAACATATTTTCTTATGATAGTTAATGTCCTTGTAAAGCAGACTCTTGTAATTGATGCTACTGAATACTAAAGTATTGATTGTAGTATTAAATCCCACTTTTTACAGTGTCTACTATATTACCATTTATTATGACTTTTGATGTCTATATAAGACTGAACGAAAAATATCCCCCTTGAAAAATATTGTGGTTTCTATGAAAGTCTCCCGTGACTGTGTAAAACTTATTTATGATAATCTCCTTAGGGAGGTATGTTAAAATATATATTCACACATCCTCTGCAATCATTTTATGTATACACACGTTATATACCTTTCTTATATTCTTATCATTGACAATTATAAAGTTATCACAGAGGGTTAATGCTTAATCTTCCATTCCAAGTGCTGGTAGTTGAATTCTTATTTAGGTTCCAGTAACAATGAAGTTGGTACAGTAGAATTATCAGCAAGCCTGATTCCTTGGTCAGATTAGTGAGAAATGAATTTGGATGGAAGTATCCAGAAGGTTTTGAAGAACAGGGGTGCCTATACTGTATTTACACCATGCTGTTCTTTAAGATGTTCATTGCTTGAGGAATGGATGATGGTGATGATTCCTCCTAGCAGTAAAACTTAAGCCAAAGAAAATCTCATACATGCAGGGAAAGAGACAGATAATTTAAAAGTAAAACAAAGGGCACACTTCTTGCCATTCCCTTTTTCTAGAATTTTAATCCATGCCATGAAAACACAGAAAAAGTTTCAGTTTTAAGTTCTTGGCATTTTTTTCCAAGGTGACTCGATTTCCCATATTGTTTCCGCCCTAGAAATATCCTTGCTATAAACTGTTAAAACAGGCAGTCTCTCTTTCTCTTTTTTTCTGCTGAGTTTTTACAGTCTTATAAAGAATGCTTTGTAAGTTCCTAATATGTTAACTTCCTCCTAAATATATCAGGCTTTCCTCAATGCCTATTATAGAGAACAGAGTAAATTAACTATAGTGACCCTCCTTTTTTTCTTTCTTTTTAAACTAGTGCACTGCAAACACTTTGTGCTGAAGTGACATGCTTAAATTGAAGTGTTCAGGTATCCATAATCTTGTTTCAGAGTGTATTTATTGGTGTGTGCATTTAACACAGCCTGCTAAGGAAGCACACTGCTAATCTCACGCGTATTTCTGAAGGTAGTATTTTAATCCACAGAGTGCACTTGGACGAACAGCTGCTAGGTCTCCTTTACCTTTACTTCCCAGCAATTTCGTGCTGTTTAGAAGGCACGCCGGGTATTTTCATTGATGGAATGAAAGTATTTTGTAATTGTTCTGCAATACACTGGTAAAGATGGGCCTTACGAAATTTAAAAATTTCAAGATGTAAAAGACTCATATTACAGCTTAAATTAAGATTCATTTAAGTATCGAATGATATTGTGTGAGTCTCAGGGTCTAAAATTTTAAGGATGAGATCTGTAGGTTCTTGAGCATGAGAGTATTTTTATTAAAAATGAATGCAAAACAATCCAGTAAGCTGGTTACACATGTAACCATATGTAGAAACAGTGGTTTGTGAAAAGGGGTTTTATTTCAGGTTTTCTCCAAGTTTTTCAGGTGAAGTAAAGTCAGCCTATGAAGTTTTAAATAACAGACTAGAGATTAAAATAGCCTCAATAATGTGAATCATAATACAACATTCTTGTAATGAAATATTTTACTCATTTTAAAGCTATAACACAGATTTCGAAAAATAGCACAGATTTTGTGGGAGGTAAGGCAAATAGATTGTTATACAAATTTATAAATGTGCTTTTCATAGGAGTAATTTCCATGTGAATTATTTCATATGTTAATATGAAAATCTAAAATCAAGTAGAGATCATTGCTAATTGTCACGAGTAACTACATATGGAGGCTTATCAAGAATTATTTGTTCAGTCTCAGGGTAACTTCTCAACAGGTGTTTTCAAAGAAGGCCTGGCTGAGAAGAGACTGGGGATTTCTTCACTATTGGGAGAATTTCCAGTTTTGTTTGAACATCTGTGTTTTCAGATTTTTCTATGGCACTACTGAAAGCATTTCAATATGATCTCAAAGAAAATATATTGAGCCAGCAGAATAAGATCTACTAAAATGCATTTTAAAAAATAATACATTCTACATTCTCACGTGGTGTTTTACAGTTCAATTTCAAAAGATTCACATTAGGATTGACCTTAGGCTCTTTGTGCTAGAAAGAGAAAATCGTTTTGATATATATGCATGGCCTTTTCAATAAAAAGGAATTAAATACATGGTGAATATAGTCAATCCAAATATACAAAAATGAGATTGCAGCATCCAGGACGAAAGTAGCAAAGCATAGACAATAAACTCAGTATTTTAGAATGAAAAGGTGAAAGAAAAAGTATATCTTTACTAGCAACATTATCCATTGTCTGCCTTTAGTCCCACTTCTCTAATACAAGAGATTCTTGACTATAGGAACTCCAATGAGCTCCCAAGACCATGATCCTAAAATTTCATATTCTAGTATGTCAGTGATTTCAATAACAAACATGAAAAGTGTGAGCAATTTCTTTCTTCATTTAAAATTCTGAGGATATTTGTCCACAGTGTTGTTCTAAGAGGACACAGTTTGATTAGTTACATGCATTCATTTCCATAAACATTATATACATCTCTATTTATAAGGGTAATGGTGGGCTGGATAGGAAGGGGATGTCTCTTTCCTACTGCATGTCTCCAAGAGTATCTTGTCCACTTGTCTTTCTTTTTGTAATTTATAGATAATAGCTTTAAATTTCTACTTTAAATTAACATGAGTACACAATCATAAAACATTTTTTCTATGCTACCATATATTAAAATAGTATAAAGTACAAAAATACTTGATTAAGAAAATCAGCCATCAAGGTGATTTGAGTTTCTTTGCAGAAGAGTTTAGAATTCAAATTATTTTTTATCATTTTTAATATATTGTTAGTTTTCATGTAAGTTTTGTGTGCACCCATGAAAATCTCAGCTCCATTGTAAATTTGAGTACATTTCTTTATTTTATAATAAATGAAAACACAAAAGTTTTTTAACTATATGAGCTAGGAACCTGATAATCTTAGTTTTACTATTGGTTGATATAACTACTCATGGGTAATAACTTCTTCATCCATTAGTTTTTAGTTTTCAATAAAATTTCCAAAATTCCAGCCAGGTAAAATACTTCATCATTTTTACACTGAGATGATTATTCATCAGTCTTTTTAAAATGTAGGAGTAAGATAATTGAGTGTATGAGTGAGTTTATAATTTTACTTAAGTTCTGTGAGTGAGTTTTATAATTTCAATAAATATTATCATATTCAAGCCTACATGGAAGATTTTGGAATTTTATTCTTGGCATCTTAATATTATTTAAGGCTGTGTGTGATCATGCAAGTTATCAGAGCATAAAAGAGTATGTCCTAAAATTCCAATCTCAATTGCTTGATCATATTTTTTAGTCACACACAAAAAAATTTCCAGTTTTTAAAACATTGTCACCTATGACTACACTGTTCAAGCCACATAAAAAAAATTAAAATAAATAAATGCAAAGGTAATTTCTAGAAACTTTTCTTAATAAAGTTGAAGTTATACATTATTCGCTTTTTACAGTGCATATAGATGTATATATGTGGTTAAAATAAATTGGTTACCCTTTAAATAATCTCAAAT